TCTTCTCTAAATCTCCGAGATGCATTTTGATGCGATTTAAATCGACGTTTTTTTCACAATTCTTTTCTTTTCTTATACGTATACCTCGCGTAGTCATGCATAATAAGCTGAGGTGCATAATAGAGACCTTTCCTCGAATTCCCTTCGTTTCTTAACTATCTCCGAGCCCTAGACCGGATTTTGTCGACTTCATGGCCAAAGTATTCCAGAATCTCAACGAGGCAACTCGATGTTCGTGGCCCTGAGGAGGTCAAGAAGACCTTCGTCACTCCCTGTCGAAGCAACCTCGTTTTCTCGGCAACGCGTATATTTCGAAAGCGCAAAGTGATGTTTCGAGACGCTTTAACGAGTTGAGCAAAGACGATCATCCTTCCATCAGGTTGCATACTCTTCATTTTTCACAACATTAATGGTGACAAGATTGAATTACGATAGGCCCTCCTGCCATGATTTAATGGTGTCGCTATTAATGCTGTTGAGAATTATCCATAACGATGCGACCACGAGTCTGTAGTCTCGTTAAAATTCTAAATGAATCGCTGTCGATACCGATATACAAATACGTCAGAACAATAGCTGCAATCGTAAGGACATCGCGATTCAGAGAGGCCCGGGAAGTGGACCGTTGTGCAGGTTATGGTTTACTCCGGTCTCCGAGGGGTTAAAAAAGGGAGAGGGTGCGCGCCATAACCCACCATCCCTTGCAGAATCGACCGGCGAACGCTAAGCTGGCGTAGGAGCAGCGGGGGAGGCCTGGGCCTCCCTTGATTTCGGGTTGCAACGCACGCTGCCTGACATTGATTTTCCTCCGTCTCGCCCCCTTTTCCTCGTCCTTCTCCGTCTCTCTCCATTTTGGCCCTATTTTCCTCTCTCTCTCTCTCGTCGAGTTGCCTTTGGTTTCACCGTCCTCGTCGCTCTTATCGCGTCCTGCGGATTTTATCCTTTCGATTCGCCCATCCCTTTATCCCGTCTCCTCCCTGTTTTCTCGGTCTTCCTCCTCTTTCTCCTCTTCGTTCCTCTTCGGAGCGAAGGCTTGCCTGAGCGACGACCAATTTGGCGCCACCGAACGAAATGTGTCAAGGCCCGACGAGATCCACCGCACCACACACGCACACGCACCATCTCGTATTCGCTTCGCGTGCCCGTCATTTTCAACCTTCCGCAGGGTGGATGCGCGGCCGGTCTAAGAACTCCATTTCTACGTAATGGAATCTTATAACAAAGTACAGAGGCGGGGCTCTGATATTTCTCGTCTTTGCTTCTCTCCTCGCCACCTCGAAGCAGATAATCATTATCGCGCGCTCTCTCTCTCTCTCTCGCTCTTCTCCATTTCGCATTCCCTCTGAAACGCGATTCGAGTCGCGCGATATCTCGCTCCGTCCTCCATCTTTCCAGTTCGCTCGCGCACGCATCAGCGCGTGAGATATCAACGGAGGCGCGTTACGCATCGTCCGGGAGGAGACCGAAAATGAGAGCGGAGGACCGAGGAGGCGCACTGATACAGCGATAACGCGCTTCGGCAACCGCGCGGCCGCGATCGATTAAAGCGAAGGCGGCGCGCGTTGCGGTAGGGCTGCGTGTATCGGGAGTCGCTGCTCGCGTGTTACACGTTTGTTCGATCCATTCAGCCGAAAAGGGGGGAAAAGGGTCAGGTCGTCGTCGCGGCGCCCTGATCCCCCGGTAAGCGGGGAGAAGCTGAGGCGGGGGAGACCTTGGAAGCTGCCGCTGCGTTTCGTAACTTAACCTTTCCATTTTGCCGCCTCCGACCCGTCCGTCCCTCCCTCGGGCCCTCTGCCTTTCTCTCTCTCTCTCTCTCGTGAGGCCTTCTTTTTCTTCGCTCCTCCGCCCCTCTTCCCTCGAGCCCTTTCGGTCAAACACGCACGATTCTCTTCTCCGAGAATCAGAAGCCCGTGCCGAATCTCTCTTCGCCTTCTTCCAGATCATCGACTCACGGTCCGCGTAATTTCTCAAGACGTGACGACAATTCAAGATGCGAGCGAAGGCCCTTGCCTCCTCCCCAGAATCTGGGCGGCTAATTGGATCGCTTAATTATTTTTCAAAGAGCCGTTCGCTCGAATCCTTTGTAATAACGATTTTAATAACGCGCCTCAAGAGGGAGGGAAAAGATTCATCTTGCAAGATTCAGAGTGTCACACTGCGAGTGACACTTCTCGATTAATCTTCGCGCGCGTCAAAGCTTCGGAAATTCACATCTGAGGCACCTCGATGCCGCTTCGGTACCTTAATACTTTGAGAAACTGAAACTATGCGTGCTACGTATGTGTGTGTATAGTAATCATCGATAAATACACGAGAGACCCGGCGATTTCTTGGACGGCGCAGATGGCGCGGTGCCTTTCCCAGAAGCGCGGTCGTCCCGCTTCCTGGCCGGCACCGTTTTGCGTTTCTGCATGTTTCAGAGGCGTACCTATCCCTATCCCTCGTGGCTTCGTCCCCCGTCTTTCTTCTGCCGATGATCCTCCTCGCAAAACCCGCTTCCTCTCGGTTCTTTCTCTCTCCCTCTCTCTCCCTCGATGCCGGCTGCTGCTCCTCTCTCTTCCGGCTTGCGGCGTCTTCGCGCGTACGCGCGCCTTTGTTCCGGCGCGCGGGTCCTTTGTGAATTTCGTAGTCAGCTGCACGAGACCCGACAGAGAGCTGCCCCGTTTACATTTTTCTAGGATACCCATGGCCCTCTATTTTTAGGCGCTATCCGACGCGCGCGCGAGCGCGTGTTTTCGCCGCGGCTGTATCATCATCCGACCGTATTTTCAGCGCACGTTTAACGATAAATGTGCCCGTTTGTTCCACGTGTCACGTTGACGCCAAACACAATTTTCGTATCAGACAAATAAATCTTCGAGTCGCGCGCAACATTTATACGGCGTTGCATAAGTGGAGAAACGAATGATCCGCGCGATAACTAATAAATATCCTTGATTGATTTTCACTTAAATATGCTATAAATAATTTTAACAAATGATAAAACTGATTAAGGATTGGAAAAAAAAGTCGCGAGTGTTTCCGAAGGAAATTTCGTCATCAGTTTTCTTTGTACGAAATTTTATTCGGTTGCGATCGTTATGTTAGATGCTACACACGCGCACGCACATATGCGTGCGCCACTTTCGCCCACGATATTTATGCGTTGCATGTGTACGTTGTAGTCACTTTTTACGACGGTGTAGCGTGCGACTGGTCCGTTCATGCGCAATACATATTTTCTCCTCATCCCTCGCGTCTTTCTTGCCGTTTCTTGTGACACCTGAATGCTTACGATGGGCGGCCAATCCTTTCGTTTGGAAGAGAACACGGTCATCCGATGGGCGGTTCCCTTCTTTTCTCTCTCTCTCCTTCTTCTTTGTTTCTTCACCGAGTTGAGTTTCCGATTAATCTATATAATTTCAGTAATGACACGGTGTGTCACGCAGCTGGTGAACGGTCCCCGTTTTTGGCTACGGTCGTAAAACGCAAACACAATTTCGGCCAATTCGATTGTGATTTAGTTAGCGAATTACTCTGCAAGTTGTCATTATTATCATTAAATGCGCGCACGTGCAATGATGTCATCTAAGAGTTGTCGCGTAAGGAGAAGGCGTTGACGTTGAAAAACATGTAAAGAATTGCCACGTTTTCTTTATTATTTCGAAAAAAAGAATTCTCGAGGATTAACAAAACTCGTAACGTATTGCGCTCCAAGATACATTGCGCAGTTTCTCGGCATCACAATGAGCTTCTCGTTACATTAGGATAGAGAATCCAAGTCACCGAGTCATGGTCGACTTGCGTTAGCCTCTCTAATGGCGCTGAACAAAGGCTGGTTTCGATTTTTTGTCACTGGTATATTGTACAAACCTAACAGTATTTTTTAAAGTTCGATTCAAATGTTTAGTCGTTTTTAACTTTTTTGTGTAGCCTTTCTGAAGACTTTAAAAGAACGCTATTACAATTTTATAAGATTGTATATCTGTATAACATAGAGTCACCTTACCTACAATGTGGCAGCATTTAATTATCTACTATATTTCTCTCGGGGAATATATCTCTCTTGAATGTCTAGCGGTAATGTCAGCCCGCGTATGGTTTCTAAGCGTTGGATTTCACCTGCCCGACTCATTAGCAAACTAATTTAACTTTTTCAAACGTATAAAAATATTATATTCTTGAAAATAAATGTCAAATGATCAAACAAATTATAAATATTAATATATGTTGTAAAGCGCAAAAATGGTAGAAACGTTTGAAAGATTTCGATTAAGTATTTGAGAGATTTAATGTACAAAAATATGCAAAAAGCGTATCTTTTTTTGGACACACACGAAATTGTGTTTACCGGTCGCGATCAGTTGCGCGTGGAGTGCTCGCGAGGAGGCCGGTGATCGCCGTAAATGGTATTCTTCGGACGCAAGTTAATCGAGCCGAGATGGGAAGTGTATTAGAGGATGGCCTTGCATGCGCCAACAATCTCGGAGGCATTGGCCTAATGTTCCATCATGAATCGTTTCGCCTGGCCTAAACTTTGTTTTCTTCTCGCCGATGGATGAACTAATAGCGAGGCGCGACTGCGCAGGCAGAAAAAACTATACGAGAGAAAGAGAGAGGCCGAGTTGCGCAATCTGCATCCACGCTTCCTTCCACGAAGGTTTTGCCGTAACGTATGTGCGTAGAACGCTATGATTAGCAAGCAGGATATCGAGCAATCGCGTGAAAAAATTCCAACTTTATCTCAAACAAAGACACTGCTTTCTTTGTATGATATTAATCTATCATGTTTGAGGTAATTTTATCGAGTATTTATCCGTATTTATGTTTTAACTGCCGTGCCATATGTATACGACTTATACGACAGTTGCGATAATTAACGACAGCTGTTTATTTAATTCGTCATTTACATACGAATAATGTGAAAAAATGCGTACGTAATTTATATATACGCGATAACTTTATAAAATCGTGTTTTGTAAACAATCGATTTGCATAAATGCAAATTTTTCTCTTTGCAGGTAGAAAACTCAAGTGTCCGTTCTGCGAAAGATTGTACGGTTACGAGACGAATCTGCGGGCTCACGTGCGACAACGTCACCAGGGTATCAGGGTGCCGTGTCCGTACTGTTCGCGGACGTTCACCAGGAACAACACGGTCAGACGACACATCGCGCGGGAACACAAGGATGAGCTCGAAGACACGAAGATGTTCGAGCAGTCCAACCATTCGGACACCGTGCCCCGGTGTCAGTAACAAAGTCTTCGGCGTCGCTGTCGTCCTCGCCGTCACCATCGCGGTCGTCGAGGTCGCGGTCCTCGCGGTGGCACCGGAAGCAACGATCCCGGCGACCATCCCGTTAGAGCCGACGGCGAGACCGAACCGCGGATAGAGGTGCGAAACAGAGGAGAGGCTGCAGAGTAGGTACCTTCGTTTTCCCTTCGTCGTCGTCAGCGAACGCCGTCCCGTTTCCTCGTCGCGAGGACAATTTCCTCCTCCCCGTGCGCTCCTTAAAGATCCGCCGAGACACGTTGACGAGAGAAACGACCATGAAGATTCGTTTCACGGAGGAAGAGACACACGGAAGAGCACGAAACGTGCGGAATGCGCACGGATGCGCCCGCGAAAACGCTGCGAATCACAAAACTAGTCAATGAAAGTGCAACGGTCGAGTAAGGATTATCGAACGCTAGGAGCTTCTTAAACGGGCGAGAGATAGCGAGAGTGAAGGTAAAAAGCGGAGCGAACAGAGCGCGCATAAATATAAACTCACACACGGAGATATTTAGCATAACGCAGACGACTGCGACGAGAGAACAACGCAAACTCAGGTAAACTAATCGCAGCGCGATAAGCGCGCTGTTTCTTCGGATAATTCATTACCGTAGATATCGGGAAATTACACTCGCCGTGGTATTTTTCATTCGTTGGTACCACTAGCGGATCCTGACATCGATAATGGGGGAGGGGGATTTCTGCAAAATTATTTGATTTCATATTTTTGGTTTCTTTTTGGCTTAGCTTTCACTCCAGGATCAACGACGAGGACATGATGAACCTTCTAATTCCATTTTTACTTAAATATTTTAAGCGGATTCAGCAAAATTAATTTCTTTTAATTTGCAAGGGGGGGTTTAATCCTACCCTCCTCCCCAGGATCCGCCAGCGGTTGGAACCATTCACTTATTTCCGTTACTATTATCGCTGTGATGAATCGAGCCTATAGGATCGTGACATTCGAGCGATATATATTCGAAGACGTTAAACGTCTACGCGCGCACAGTGCCAAACCAGACGCTTTTATACTCTGGACACATCAGCTTTCAATTTCGCCCGTTTGTACACACACGTGACGCACACATTAATTGCTATATAATAATAATAGTAATAATAATAACGTGGTGACATACACACATATCGCGCCGAGATGACACCCGACGACACGCAGACCTTTTATACAGATACGATTTTATATAACATTTACGAGATTACTAGGGCGGATAATTATCGTGCGATTAGCCGCGGGAGAACCCGCGACTGCCGATGATATACTTCTTGGTGAACGCGCATCGAGGAAGCGCGAGAGACGAGCAATATAATCTCACGTTGATACATCGTTACGACGACATTGATTTTTTTTTTCTAATCCCTAGAGAGGCGCCCAAATCGCATTCGCCACGGAAGTTTGTCGCAGCGCCGGTTAAATCCCGCGGCGAAACAATCACTACCACTTTGTTACCTGTTTACAATGTTTAAAAAGATGCGGACTTTTGTCCGCGGAGCAATAGTCGCGTACCGAGAATATAGCGTATAGAGCCATCGATCACGTAAAGAAAAATAGTGCGCGCGATTGCGCGCGAAATAGTTGCTATCCCGGTTGTATAAGAGATGTGATCAATGCAATAGATTTATATTACACATTACTTATATGTATAGATATATAGAGATATATACTCCTAGTCAGGATGGCACCCACGATATTACTTGTTACAGTATTTATACAGATTATTCTCTCTTATTTTTTTTTTCCGTTTTATTTGTTCTCCCTTTTGTTTTATGCAGAAAGTTTAAATGGTTATTCTCACAACGATACCGCCTATACCGTAAGTTTATCAGAGACAATAGATGATATATAGAGAATTATTTAGTATTTATAAAGCGCGTCGTGCGCGAGCCGGGGATACAATAGTACACGAGATAGAAGCCGAAGAAATAGATAGATAGAGAAAGAGTTCAGTTTCATTTTGTTTCCGTTTTTTCTGTTTTTTCTTTTCCTTTTTTTTTCTTCTTTTCGTAACATTCAATATATGTCAAATATATACGTCAAATATACGCGAGCACTCGTCGCGCACGCGCGCGTATACCCTGCCAAAAGAAGTATGACAGACTACCTCATTGTTTTGCGATGCATTACACACACAGGGAACACAATAGCGATTATACTATATGATACAAATCTGTACATTCCGTACAGCCGCTAATACTATTACTACTACTACTACTACTACTTGTCCAGTTAGTATCGGAGCAGTTTTCCTGCCATTGCTACCCTGGCGTAGGGTGACGCAAGATCGTGGATCTCGGAGCTTGTCAATCATGATCGATCCATTTCCGCTCAAATCAGAAGGAATTTATCCAATGCTAGTCAATTATGTACATTTATTTTCCGCCGCAATTAGTTTCAGCCAACAGCATTTGTCAGAAGCTCCGGGAAATTCGGGAAAAGTTCCGAGATCCTCGGATCATACGTGATGTCTATCTATTATACGTATAATAGATCCGTTTGTTTTTCTTTCCGTTTTTTGCGAGGGCGCGTTTTAAGGTAACAAGTGTACGTATGTACAACTGTAAATCTTAGCGAGCGAAAAATGTGCGTACAGGTACACGCGTGAACAAATGCGTGCGAATAAATGCGTGCGCGGTTCTTCGCGAAGATGATTTTCGCGTGCGAGATGGTTCGGAGAAAGGTGGAAGAGCCGAATTTGCAAAGTCCGTTGTCAAAATTGCGACGCGTTCACCGGTTGAAAGCTGGAGGCGAGAAAGAAGGTGACGAGACAGAAAGAAAGAGCGAGCGAGAACGCGGAAAGAGAGAGCGTTAGTTGCCCAAAGTCGGCGATGTATTGATAAACGACAAGAAATAGCGAAAAGTGAAATTTATTCCGACAAAAGTGACATCGATTATCTCGAGGGCGCACGAAGTTAACCGGGGATGGGATTAATGATGCTGGACGACGAAGATTACATAGTCATAGGGAAGTTAATTCCCCGGAGAGAAGCCGCGGGAAGGATATTCAAAGGATGTTATGTGTCGTTTACGTATGTGATGAAGATAGGAACATACACACACGCGCAACACGTACACACATACGCACACACAGGGGGATGGAGAGAAAGAAAGAGAGAAAGTGGCGAGAGAGGAACATACACACACACACACGCGTGGACAGCACGCGGAACACACGCTCGTGTAAATAGATATGGTCGCGTATGCCAAGTTATAATGAAAATCTTTTACTTAATATATATACGAAATATAAATATAAATATATATATCTATTGTTTTCGGCTGTTCTGCTAAGCAGAGGCATACAACAAAGATGCGAGGGAGAAAAGATACCTTTAAGTGGTACAATGAATTAGCGTTAAGTTTAACAAGTAGAAGGATCCAGTTATATCGGGAGTGAGCGAAATTTGAAAGTTAGAATAATAATGTCAGACGCGGAGTTTCAGATAGAAAGAGATGGTTAAACCCAGGGTTTAATATTGTTTTGTCATACGTAAGGATTAGGAGAATGCATACGTAGTAAAGGTATTCCCAACACTTACACACGTACACAATGCAGTACACATTGAAAGAACAAAGAGCAACACGTCTCAGTCGAGTAAAAAAAGAACACGTACCTAAAAGATAATCAATGTAGAATTAAAATGAATTTAGAATTAGTCATTAATTATATTATCGCGACATGTATATCGGCTACGCGCATAAATGTATTTAAAACGGCCAGAAATCTCGGACCGATTTTTCTTCCGGAATTACGTCTCTTTTTCGCGATAAACTTTGCTTCATTGATGATTGTCTCTTGTCTCTCGGAAAATCCGCGTTTAACTCGATCTTCTAAATCTAATTATCGATTTCGTCGTATCGCTTTGCTCAAAATAAATTTGGAAAACGGCTGCTTTCGAACTTTCTTTTATTTAATTTTTATTTTTATATATATTTTTTTTTAATTTCCTATATCCTCTTCGATTCTCTCTCCGGTTTCGTTCGCGTCAATCCCGAGAGTCTCGAGGGCTCGAGAATAATACATTAGATTTCGCCGTTTATGATCGATTTTCGTCGAGGTGCGCGTGCAAGAGATCGGATCCGCGACCGGAAGTCGAGAGTGCGAGACGCGCGCGCTTCCGCCTTCAAAGTTTTCAAGATCCTCGGGTCCGGTTATATCCGGTGTAAAAAATTATACTTGGTCTATATGTATATATATGTACACGCGGAGAAAAAACAAGCATACACACTCACACACCGTACACGCTACACATGTACACGACACTCGCGCGATGCGCGTACGCGTATGTATGTACCATTATTGTATCACGGCGTAGGTTAAAATGTTGCATGTTGTTTCTATAATATGTGTTTTACGGATTGAGAATCCTTTATAAATGTCGTGTGTGACACAAGGCTTGACACGAGACGCGTGGGAGATTTCGCACCGTGACTCGCTCGCACGCGCACGCTTTCGAAAAGCGTATGTGAAAAAAAATCGTGCGAGGCAGCTCATCCGAAAAATGGGAAATTCGAGTGAATTTGTCGCGACACTTGATTCCACAAATTTGACTCCAATCGACTTGTTATAATATTTTCTAAATTAAGAATAAGCATATGAGATGTGAAAAAAAATTCGAACGCAAAGAGGAAGTCTCGCACTTGTTTTTCCATCTTTTTCGCTCTTTCTGCATAAGATCATCGTGTCACGCTAACAATATTATGGTATAATTCTCGATCAAATTATTAGAAAATGCGCGCGTACGAGCACGTTGGCTGTCACGGTGTGACCGGGCTTTCCGCACAATGGGGAACCTTCGTTATCATTCGCGTCGCACGGGCAGCGCGAATCATGAAAGATAAAGAGAAACGCATCGCTGCCCGCGTGATGAGAGTGAGGGAGCAAAATTGAATGTCATCACTGCACCTACACCGCGCGCAGAGAGTGCACTGGCAACTACTGTACCGTTTACTCGTATAGTATATAATAGTACTATACCGTAGTTGGATAATGATTACATAGTACATGTATCACGCACGCATAAGCATTATTTAAAATCGAAGAAGCAAAAAAAAATGAAAAAGTAAAAAAAGCAAAAAGAGAAGAAAAGTGCAGAAGAGGAGGACAAAAAGTGGTGAAGGAAAAAGAAAAAACATACAAACAAACAAACAGACAAACGCATAGCATTAGCGATGTCGTAGAGCGGGACCTCGAACGTCCGGGGAACGAGCGGCTCGTTTCCCGGCTGCGACCTATAGTACAAAATAAACGTAATGTTAAGGGTTAACAAACGGGACAGACAGGAGACGTGTGGATTTTGTGAACTTACTATACACGCTGTTAAATTATAGGTAAACATAGAAAAAAAAAAAGAAGAGACCAAATGCGCCTTGCGGCCGGACGCGTCGGGGATACGAGCTCGTCGTCGAGGACCGTATCATCATAATCGATCCTCGCTCAAACAAGAGATCCAACGCGATCACGATGACGATTTCATATATCCCTCTTCCCCGTACACCTCTCATCGATATAAAGATCCGATCGAGATCTCGCGATCGTACCCTCGGGGATAAGACCGATGACGAGCTGATCTACGGAGTTGGACTTCCTCGAGAGGCACGACGGCGAGATATCCCGCGCGCATATCTCGCATCTGTTCCTCACCTCTTATCTCAACAATAAGACTGATCTCTCATCGTAGTGTTGACGTACAATATGCAAAAAAAACACTGCCACGGAGGAGGGAGCCTCCGCGAGAGCCGCGTCACCGGCGCGTCCAAAACGGCCGCGGCCATCGCCGCAATAACGGATCACAATACTTCGTCGGACACTAGTACAAATGCTACCTCACACACACGACTTACAGGGTGCACACAGAATGAAGCTTACGAAAGATCACTGTATATAACACATAAAGCGATAGTTTTCAAGATCGGATCGGCGCGTCGCGCGGCCGCCGCCGGTCTCCGTCTCGGGAAATGAAGCGGGAAATCGAGGAAAGTGGGAAGACGCGGAGAAAATAGCGGAGAAAAGCCGTTAATGATCGGACAGGGACTTTCCCGAGAACCCCGGCGAACCGCGGACGACGCGTCACGAGTCCTTCTCTCAGGAATATGAAAACCAAGTACAAACTACAAAGTATAATAGTCGATAAGATTTTTAAATAAACATAAATCATTGAATCAAGCGATGCAATAGTCGGGTGTATAGTAGGGACTGTTTAGGTGTGTTCGTTTTTTTTGTTTTTTTTTTTAAAGCCTCTCTGATACATTGCCGTGAGTTTATTGACCGCGAATCTTTTCGATCACTCGCCACGAGATCACCGTCAGATTCTTATCATTGATTTTTCTCTCGCAATTTTCCCGCTTGACAGCAAACCTTGCCCGTATTGGCGGTTATTATACATACAAATTATACATAATTATACATATACGTACATATACATATATATATGTAGCGGGTCCACGCGCTTTTCTCAAGTTTCTTTACGCGGCTCAACGCGAATCCTTTTCTCGCAAGCGTTAAACGTATGCAAATGTTCTCGTTGCTATATATATATTTATTCTTTGTTGACTTATTTCACCTCGTCTCCTAATTGCTTTCCCTTTCCTCTCGTAGTAGTCGTTGATCAACCTTCCCATTTGTCGGTATCCGTTTGGCCGGCCGTTTATATCCCACCGCGCGAGTTTAATGATTTTTCTTTAATATATACATAGTAATACACAAGTAAAACGTAATTATTTGAAAAATGAATTGACGAAACAATGAAGACTTCACTCTTTCCGTTTCGCCTCGGTGAACCGCGAAGATCACCGTCGGTGCCAATGGAATCCTCTCCTTCTCTGATCAATGAGCAATTATTATCAGATTTGCCGGATTTAATTTCCATTTTTTTCTCCCATTTTATTTTCTCAATGCTATATCGATGGCGAACATATGCGAGTTTTTCTTTTTTATTGGACACAAGTTGTTTACCTGGTACTCGGAGAATACCGATAGTCATGCCTCTCACCAATACATATACAATAATGATACAATATATATTGATAAGTATACGAAACCGCTTCTACCTCATAATTCCGTATCTATATTTATATATACGTATACCGATAAGAGTTACGCGCATATTACATATATAGCTATCTACGGTTCCTCTGTTTTTACGCGAAGTATTATTTTTATTCTTCGTTTTCTCTATCGCCGCATATTTACGCCGAGATAAAATTGACGACAGACGAATGAGATTTACACATGAATTTACACGTGCATATTTAAAAAGACAAGAACAGAGAAAAGAGAACATATATATATATAATATATTCTCACATCGGACCTTCCACGATATCACAGATACCCCTCCCTCTTCTCCACCCGAGTATAATGTAAATACATCGGTTTATATTTATTTATTTATGTTTCTATGCGCTGGACGCGTCTATGTTACACGCAATTGCAAGTTAATTGATAATCTATCCCTATATTGATGACAAGAGAAAGAGAGAGAAAGAGAGTACACTCATTTTTCAATATAAATATATATATGAAAAAGTATATATATACATATAAAAATAGATAGTTATATATCTAATATTAAGGAGAGTACTTGTTTAGATCTTAAGTGATCCCCATCGTCGTGGTCCCGCAATGCGACTGCATTCTCTATGAAAAACTAAAGCAAGGAAGAAACTTTATCTATAGTAAAATAAAAAAAAAGAAAAATATGGCGTTTATACATCCGGTGGCGCGGTGCACGTCCGGCGAGCTTCTTCCGGCGCGTCGAAAATATCGCGAAGTCCAAAATCACGGCGAACGTTTCCTCCCTCCTCATCCGGGAAAACTCGCGTGTTTCTCGCTGATCTGTGAATGTCTTGCTGTAATTGTTTTATACCTTACTGGTCCCTCTCAGGACTACGCAAGCGCGTAATCGAATTTGCCATCAAATCAACTTATGCGAGCCGGATCAGCGCGAATCACTTTGATTTCTTTGATGGTGGTATATCTGAGTCGTGTCGACACGATAAATTCGTAGCGCATAGATTTGTCAACGAATGCAATTTCTTTGTTGACAACACGACTCGGAGAGTCATCCTACGTCTACGAATCCCCTTTTTGCGTTCGATTCGCGTGTCACGTTGTTTTTATTCATATCATTTTTCATCCCCTCGCGGATGAACCAAGATTTGTGAAGGTTTTTCCGGCGCGAACGCGAGACTCGCGGCGTGCGCCGCAAATACGTGGTTACCAATTTTGTTTTAAGTTGAGAGATTAAGTTTACGTTACGAATTATTGCTATATATATGGGATGGAAGAGAAGGAAGCTAAAAAGAGAAGGAGAGAGAGAGACAGATGCGAGACGCCGAGAAGTCTCGCTTATCTGCTGTATGAGCGAAGCGCGCACGGGCATAGTTGTGTTTTCGAGAAAATACGAAACGACATTTCGCGTTATATATAGATAGATATATATATAAATATATTACGAACTATTTTATTTATAAGAGGCGACAAAAGGTACGCGTGAATACGTACGTATGTGTGAGTGAGTGCTTGCGAGAATGCGTAAGAGCTAAAGAAGAAAAGCGATCGATACGAGGAAAAATACCAATACGGATTCGCATAGAAAGGTGAAAGATGGTAGAAAGAGAAATGGAAAAGACGAGAGAGGAGTGTGTGTGTGTATTTGCGGATTTGCATGAGAGAGAGAGAGAGAGAGAGAGAGAAAAAGAGAGAAAGCTGTAAGATGCGGAAGTTGGATAGGAAAAATGTCGAAACTCTGCCACACACATCGCAAATGATCCCGGACGGGAACTGGGGTGAAAGAAATCCTCTTCAACGGAGGAAGCGTGTAAAAAAAATATAAGTTTCTTTTTTTCTTTATACTCCGAGCGCGGACGGGGTGGCAGGGATTCGTGGCTATGTCGTTGAGTGTAACTCACCCTTTTTGTTTGTATAAAAATTAATCGAAATTTAATTAGAGACTATTAATAACTGTTCGATTACTGTAAAACAAAAGAAAAACTTTACCATTAATTATAAATTACAAAAAACTTGGAGCACCTTGGATTATTGTTAATTCGTGAATTCATACACATACACTTTTCCCTTGAATCCTGTTTTTCCTAAATTACAATCGATCAGGCAATCGATCAATATAAATGCAATGCGCGAACTGCGGATATGTTATTTCTTTTTTTTTTTATTAATAAATCATATATATACATATTACACATAATGAATGAATCGGTTCTTAATTAAATGTTCGATCCATAATTATGTCGGATGCGCGTTCGGCCATCGCGACGAGAACTGAATTCGGCGTGCCGGAAATTGGAGACGGCACGACGCTGGCGTCCATTATCCTTAATCCACTCACGCCTTTCACTCTGACGAATGAGATTATATTTTTATTACAATTAGTCCGCGCTTGACCTCGTTTTCCACAATGTGTTCTACAATAGTAAACCCTCCCTATCTTTTACCTTAATTCCTCGTCCACAACCGCCCCCATTCTGCATGTGCCACATGGATGATAACCCGTGAGTCCTGCGATTCTCATGACGCACTCCGAATAATCAAAGTCCCGATAATCCGGTCGTAAATGACGACATTCCTCGAAATCGGGAATGTGAATTTTTGCGCCGTATTCGCGAAAGAGTCTTGTATTAAGAGTCTCCAGCGCAAAGTTTATAGCTTACCGGAGAATCGTCAAAACATTATCGTTAATTTAAATATCGATTGTTGTTAATTTAAAAATAAATTTATACTACGGAAGATAACCCTACGACTCCCTCAGCGATAATAAAATTTTTTTAGGGACCATTTACCTCGGTAGGTGCACGTGACATCGTCGGAGTCCTGGAGATACGCCGGATTGATTCTTGGCGGATCGCGGATGTCGCTCGATCTCAATGTTACTCTTCCGCGACTCTTGGGTTGCAGACACGACGCGAGATAAATGAATCCCTCGTGCATGCTATCGTTATGTGACGGAAATAGCGACCTATACGTCTGATAATCGATTATTAATTCTCTTGAATCAGCATACATTTAGTATTAATGAAAATGCAATAATCGCTATGAAATAAAATGTTTCGATCGAGCTAGAAAATTTTTGATGTTTTTCTGTCAAAACTTTTGCAGTCAAATAACTACGAAACACGATATTAGTTGAAATTTTTAAATATACGTCATTGTTGGCTGATTCACTCACCTCGGTCTCGAAATTTGAGATGACCTTCAGCAATTTTTCCTCCGTGGACGCTACTCCGAAGAGGAGGAGGCCACTGTTATTAGCACGCCCCAATCCCATTACGCCGTTAGTAGCCAACCATCCTTTGACATGCAACGGGGAAAAAGGTATATGGCGAGATTACAATATCGACCGCACGGAATGCGTATCGCGGATAAACGAGCGCGCCGATCATTAACGTATTATTCCATATTACCGGTTCCGAAAGTGAAATAATTGAACACCTCCGGCACAGTTTGCAATTTCACGAGCGTGATGCTGACGCGCTCTCGCAGATTCACGTAAACGGGCACGTTCAGATGATCGAATAGATTTCGTCCTACCTCTGGAAGATGCCGCACCACGGATATCTGCGGATTGAATGCATTGCCGTTTACGAGATCGATATAAATTTCATTCGATAATATTCTAATTTGTCACCTTGTGCTTCTCCAATTCGCTCATAGGTCCTACGCCGGAGATTAGAAGTAATTGCGGAGTGTTGATGGTGCCTGCGCAAAGAATCACCTCCTTTCTCACGCCGATACTTCCGATTGAGCCGTTTTTATACATCATTTTAATGCCATCGATTTTATTATTCTGGAAAAGTATCTGCAATATATCGAGTTAAAAAGATGTATATAAATGAGCAAAATTTGAAAGCTCAAATAAAAGTTAAAATATGAATGATTATTCTTGAATATAATGATTAACGAGTAAAACGTTTTAGCAAGAATTTATAATGTGATACAAGAAACAAAATTTCAAAATTATACAAACCTTTGTAACAAGCGTATTCATGAGGATATGTAAGTTCTTGCGATTCCAAGCCTTCTGCAAGTAAGCGTGATATGTACTCCATCTGGTGCCTTTCTTCGCGGTGTACATCGCCTTTCCCAGGGATACGTTATCCAATTTTAATGATTCTTCGGCCAAAACGAAGGCCTTTGTTAGATACTCTTCCTCCGGCATCGGGATAACGTTCATGATATCGGACACTTTTTGAAAGTAGGGAAGTAAGTCGGCGTGCGACCAGCCCTTGGGCCATTTCTTGTAGTCCTCGGGCCTCCCGAAGGAATGGACGAGGTAATTAAGCTGCCCGCTCCCACCCAATCCTTTTCCTCTCGGCCAGTTTTGTCTCTAAACAATCGTCATGAAACGGTTCGAAAACACGCACACAAAATACAGAAATACGAATCTGTTAAATGTCTATTATATTTGACGTAAAAAAATAATTTATAACGTGGCATAATTTTTTTAGATCGATGCGAATATTATTATTCATCAGAATAGCGTATCTTGGTGCTTGTGAATTACATTGTATAGCAAAAGATAGTTACGGAAACCGTTCTCACGTTCTTTCACGCGGAAGGGAGTTACCGGAAGATAGAGTTTTTAATTACATAGCCGTTGAACCCTCGGGACGAGAAGACTTGCGGCTCCGTTTTATAGGCCCAATCGACTTCGGTGTCTTGCATCATCGGCGCTAAGAGCGGTATAGCCGATGTCCATCCAAAGTATCCACCGGCCTCCACGAGCAGAACGGTCACGTTCGACATTTCCGAGAGCCGTGATGCAATCACGCAGCCAGAGGTTCCAGCGCCGACTTAAATCCAATAATAATTTTTATCGAAAGTGATTTGTGAAGTAGCTCTTGTATTTTATCGTGATCGATATGAATAAGATGTTACCATCCTTACAAGGGAACCTTTAGAAATTTGTTAAATTAAATTTCAAGTTTGATTTGTTCAATAGATTTAAACGGAAAGAGATTATATCTTATCTTTTAATAATTTAAGCATTTGTAAGAAAGAACGAAGAATATTAAACTGAACATGAAAATAATTAATTTTATCTTTATGAGAGGACTGGAAATGATTTGTTATTGATATTTCCTATTTATTCTAAAGAGCGCATCTAGGGTGCCTCAATCTGACGCAATGCAATTTGTCATTGCGGGGCATAAATCCTCTTTGATTAAAAATCGATATGGAGGGGCACCAGAAGGCACAAGAAAGAGGAGAAAAAAATAGTGCTCGCTTCGTTGAGGAGACAAAAATGCCGATAAGTGTAAATCGACAAGCGCGAACTCACCAACAATATAGTCGTAATGCGTTTCAGGATAATCGATAATACTGGCCGGCTCGGTGAAGTGATAATGATATAGCAACGACGTTAACAGGATGACGATCGAGATCAATACGTGGCCCCACATATCCTCTGCTCTCGAAAAATCACGCGCGAGAAGGACAACGTCCGGTCGACGGTCGTCTCTCGGTATCACTGAGACAAACGCGCGAGACGAACGCGGAACTATAACGGCTACGCGTTCGATCCCGATATTAAATTAGTAGCTCTCCGTTTGTAATCGATACTTGTCTATAAGTCGAGTCGCCTCGAAGCATCGCGCCAACGTCCGTGACAACAGTATCGAGGGAAATATGCAATTACTATTATATAAAAAGTATCACCGACATGTTTGCATTTCGCAAATATATATGAGATTTATGTTCCAATTTTTAATAATGTCACGTGAGATAAACCCGTTGACATAGTATTTTATTAGACTCTAAATAAACTGTTTGATCAAACTCTACAAAACAATGTCCCGCATATAAGATGAGCGATCCGCACTATTTTTACGAGCAATACTACTATCTATCAAGAGGATGTATCAGGTGGCATATTATTTTAAAAATTTTATTAATTTTTTCTTTCGAAAAAGTTTTAATATATTAAAAGATCTTATAACAAAAATGAAGAAAAAGTGAAGACAAATACCATTTTCACACTTTTGTTTATATACAAAATATATAATTTTTTTTATTTTTATTAGAATCTATTTGATTAATAATACTTGATTTGATTAACAATTCTCTCACAAAATAAAACTTTCCTTAAAGCTAATCAGACCTTTTAAAAAAAATGCTAGAGATGTAATTAAAAAAATATTAATTTTTGAAAATTTTTAATTGAAAAATTAAAAAATTTATAAATATTTTTCAATTTTGCTAACAATTAAACAGATATATTCTTTGTTTTAAAAATAAAAAATTATACTTATAATAAATAGTTTGCTAAAAAAAATTTTACTATATGCTAGAAATATTTAATTTCATCTCTCATAAAAAAATAATATACAATATGTATAAAATACATATTTCATAGATAACTTGAAATTCTTTTTCGATGTATCTAATGTTAATTCGAGACAATAATCGATGTACGAGCATCGAGAGATTCCTTTCTCGCCATCTATTATTTCATCTAAAAACTATTCAGAAACACAGCAGACGGAGGAAACCGGAGATCATGTGTTAAATTTTTCAGACTTATACAACATGCGTATAGAAACGTGTTATTTTTGTTCATCCCGGATATATCCGGGACATGGGATTCAATTTGTAAGGAATGATTGTAAGGTAAGAATGATTAATTAAATACTATATAAATTATGAGATATAAATTTGAAGAATAACAGTCACATGTATGATGTATCGTTGTAGCATCGAAATAAGGTTATATGTCTCGTATAAACATTCCGACAAATATTAGTTACAAGAATATTTAGAACAATTTTTTCACATATTTTATTTATTTTCAAGAATACCAACTGAATTCTTTGGAAAAGATTGTTCTCATTTTATCTTCTCTTTCATAATCGCAATTATGACTCTATTTTTGATAAGCTCTTTGATCATCTTTATTAAATAATTATGTTACAGATATTCAAATTTTGTCGTTCAAAATGCCATGCTGCATTTAAGAAGAAGAAGAATCCCAGGAAAGTCAAATGGACCAAAGTATATAGAAAGACTGTCGGCAAAGAATTGACAGTGGATCCATCATTCGAATTTGAAAAAAGAAGAAACATACCCGTCAAATATAATAGAGAATTATGGTCCAAGTCTGTGGAAGCAATGAAGAAAGTGGAGACTATTAGGCAGAGGCGACAGAACCTACACATTATGCAACGGTTACACAAGGGAAGGGAATTGGAAGAGGAGAGAGATATTAAGGAGGTTAAACGTGATTTGTCTCTTATTCGCTCACCAGCTGCTGGTCTCAAAGAGAAGAAGAAACAAGAAGAAGCAGCTGAAGAGCAAGAACAAATGTATGTAGATGAAGAATCAAATGAACTTGAAGCCGAGGAAATGGAAGCCAACTAAATCGTTACATGTATTTTGTGTTATTATTTTAATCTGTATTTCACAAGTTTCTCTATTATGTAGAATAAATTATAAGTTAATATAAATCTAATTTTTTTTTTTTTTTTTTTTTTTTTAAGAAATTCAGAAATTTTGAAGAACGAATTATTCATGTTCATTTACATAAATACATAAAATTAGACATTACAATTTATTTGTAACATATTTAGATATATAATTTATATATTTTGACAATTATACATATAATTTATACCACATAGGATAAATTTTAATATTCATTTTATGTAACATGTTGAAAAATTATGCAAAAATTAAATAACTAGAAATAAGTTTATTACAATTTTTTATTTGCTTAATTTTGTATTCGTTGTCACTTTTAAATATTGAATATACAAAATGAAAACTTAAATTTTACGACTTAAATTTAATTTTTTTAAATTTTCTTTGATTTATCATCTGAAATCGTTTCCTTCTAGTTGTAAGAATTTACAATAGATGGAGCTATGAGGAACGATCCATTTATTTATTTCATTCAGGTCTTGTATGTGTAGCATCCTACAGATGGCGTTGTTGTACTCATTCATTCATTATATCCGTTATGAATGTTCATGCATTTTACAAAAAAAATTCTCATCATGCACAATACTCTCATCATCAAGCAACAATAATTAAATAATAAAAATAAATAATGCTCTCTCATTATATTATAATTATGTAATAGATTTTGTGATAACAATCACTTGCATTGTGCATTTCTTTTTCAAGTTTTGCTGTGTATCACACAAAACATATATAATTATACATCAAATAATGTATAGAACTGATGCACATCTGATTCTGAGTTACTCGAATAATATACGCAAGCCTTATAATATAATATAATACAAAAGTTTTTTTTATTTTATATACAAGGGAAAGAATGAAATTTAATTTATGTAAAAAAGATTTTATTTTATGACAAAGTACTTAGCTTAGTTCACAAATTATTATTAAAGTTGTATTATCCAAATAAATTAATCGAGCTTTTAAGATTTCTCGTTTAATAAAATCATACAAAATTTCTCAGATTATACTTTGGATATTATTCCTTTGTGACAGGAGTTTTCATAGAACCCGCGCGGGCAAGGTGTGACCGCGCTTGTCGATGACACTGTAAACACTCGCGAGGTGTTTCCAGCAATTACCAGGCAAACCACGGCGCGATGTTTGCATACGAGACGAAATGCCTTGTAGGAATACGCGCCTAAAGGGAACACCGACGAGTTCGGGCGGGATACACTTGTGTTACGCGCACAAAAAAATATTTTCACGAGCGTGAGCTGGCAGATTTTTCGAGGAGGAACACACGCTACGACCGATCTCTTCGACAAATCCAAATCTTTGAGCTACGCCGACATCGACATCGTTTCGAGTCTAAAATCAACTAATAATTGGTAACACCGATCGGTTTCGAATCGATCAAACGATAGTGTTCTTTAGACCAGTGTATGAGAATGTATAAGGATTTTATATCGCAAATTGATAAAATCCTTTCGTACAAGTAACAAAATTTAATTCCACGAACAAATTAGATATTTCAAAATTAATCTCGTTTGCTTCTTTATTTTTTATATCATTATATTAGAAGCTTATCGATTATTATTGTATTTAAAAATTAATTTTTTAAAGCGCGATACATTGAAAGAAAGAAGGTTTGTAATTTTCGGAACACATGTGTATAAGTATACATGTGCTTTACACGCACAAAGTTAAATGAATCACGCGTGCACGAGCCGAGAGTACCTCTCGAGGATCCTTGGAAGAATCACGAAGATTTCATATCGAAATTCGCGAGCGAAAGAAATGCTCTCGGCCACACACGCGAAGATGCGTCGGTTGTTTGCTGAAGAAACAGACAACACGGAATACGAGTGTTACGCGTGTTACGAATCGCAATACAACGGCTCGTGTGCAGTCGAGAAAAAGTACATGTGTACGCCTGTTTTGTGCACGATTGTAGTCGATTAATCAATGGTCCTCTGCGCGAATAATACACTCAACAAGAACGCTAGAGCTGTCAGAGCTTGCATTGAAGTTAACAATGTTTTAGAAACGATGATTTTATACCGCGAGAAGTGTTGTTGCTTCTTTCGAAGAAGAACTCGTATCCTTTCATTAGTTTATTAACTGTGTATCCTTGCGTCATTATTACGAAGAATAATTTCCAGCAAGTATGTTTTTTTTATTCTTTGAATGGCAGGAAATGTATCTACGAGTGTTTTCCCTTTGCATTTTCGCAATAATTTCTCTCTCATCGTGCATCGGTCTGTGATCAACTGTCAGTGATCGATCACTGTACGCGTATTGTCTGTTTGGCGACTCTCTTTTTCGTCGTCCTGCCTTCGCGTACTCACCCACGCAACAAGGACAAGGAGGCACAAAAGGAGCGTCAAAGTCGCGTTGACAAAACCTGGCATTATCGTGCTCTTGCCGACGTTTACGCAATGGTCGACGTGTATAGGAAGGTCCTTATAATAACATCTTCTACCGAAATCACGAGTATGCAGCGTAAATAAATAAGGCGATTCGAGAAATATAGTTTACCCGGGGTCCCCGAGGTCCGACATTTGGTTGGACAATATTATTTTACGACGACGAACCGTCTTGGAAATTCCTTTAGATCTCACCGATTTCAAGTGCGATTCGACGATACATACATGTATTCGTACTGATTGTGAGACTTTTAATTAATACTCGACATAAGGCGCGTTTCCAAGATCAAGAATTGCTCATATAATAGAGCAATCTCTTGAATGAACTGTAACATTTCGAAATATCAAAGTTTGTATTTGTACACAAAACGTTTTCACCACCAATCAAATCTGGCGTGAATCGCGCGATTGTTTTTCCAATGAACTACATTGTTACCAAATCGTCCGGGATCATTAATCTTCCTCCGTGTGTTTTCTTAACGCGGGTGTAGCTTCATTTTCTCGGGTTCGGTCGCGTGGAAAGCTATAACGGTCCGAGCTCGTAAACATTATGGTTAAAAGGCACTAGGTTCTGTCAGACGGCGAGGCGCGTTTAATTAAATTTCGATGTCGCGTCTTATCACAATGGGATTCAAAATGGAACGAATATCTACCGGCACTTAGATAAAGACCTAACCCATGCCGCTTTCTCTGTCCGTCGCATCGCTTTGGGATTCTCTTTATCGCTACGCAATACATTACGTAGAAATAATAAAAATATAGCCAACACCATTAAACTCAAGAGACAGTCATTAGACACGAGTAAATTTAAAATATCATGTTTGGTTAGCGCTCTTTTAAAATTGAATATTCATGAATATTTTGTAATCTTTATATATATCCTGCTAAAATATAAATCCCTTTCTGCTCGGTAATATTATTCATTTTGACACGATTTTATCGCAAAACACAGAATTCAACTTCCTTTACATTAAACCCTTTCATTCTCAAGTTGCGGTCTTTTTCATGGCCTTTAAGATAGATGCGAGAGATTCGGATTCAGGTTTACAGGAAGTCCACGATTAGCTCGATCTCGGCGATACAATCGTGATTTGCGACAAGGCAGTGACTTGTGTCGCAGCGGCGACTGTTAGAGTTATCTAAGGTAAGCAGCGCTCGTCCGTTTCTCTTAATTTGAACCCCGGAGCCAGACACGGACGGACATCACCTACTTTGAGATCGCTCGGTCCGATCGGCCGGATAGGCAGCGCGATCACCCGGCCACTCACCGATAACGGGTGAGAGAGGAAGAGGGAAAAGGGGGAAACATCGTTTCCGAAAGCAGCATACCCACAGAAGAGGATACGACCTACCGGAGACAGGTGAATGTTTGACATTCCGGACGCAGCCTCTGTTGATGAAGCTTCTGGTTACGAGTGGACGACAGACGGCGGATCAAAGTATGAGAGGGGAAACTAGTCGGATAATTGGATGGAGCGCGATTTAATTAAAAAAGTCGCAACGATGGAGAAATGATATTTTGGTAATAATAAATTATAACAAATAATTATATAGCAGAGATTTTTTGTTCTATTTTTTTTTTTAATATGTTATTTTACATTTTTCTTCTTTCTGAATAAAATTTTAATATTTTAATATTTTATTTTTTCATTTATAAATTTTATAATATAATCTATATCTTTTATAATATAATAAATGCGAGTGCGTATAAAAAAATTTCCTTGTGCATATCATAATAAATTTTTTATAATAAAATAATATATATCTTTTATAATATAATGAGTGCGAGTGCGTATAAAAAAATTTTTCTTGAGCATATCATAATAAATTTTTTATAATAAAGTATTTTCTTTGTTACGAGAAATGATATTGCAGCAGGCGAACGTATAATGGACGCATTCTAGCGCATGTGCGTTCCTTAGAATGGAAACGACGCATCGGTGCATCTTTAAACGCAATATTGTATCCGAGCGTTGTCGCGCCGACAACGTTTAAACGGATTAGATGGGATCTCGCCCATGAAACGATTGAATTTCCCCGAACAAGTTCGGCATCACCCGCAGTCGACGAACATAAAGATCATGCCGCAAGCGGCGGATTTTCCTGTTTGCACTGCTGATCGCCCGGGCGTTGTCTGCTGCCTTGAAGCCGGTTAATGTCACGCATTTCGGAGTCCATTCCAAAGATTTTGTTTATACTAAATTATGATCGATCGCAAGAAGCTATTTGGAAACTATTTTTTATTTTATGTCTTTAAATGTACCTTTTTTAAGCCTGACGAAAGTTGAATTGCTTTTCCCACTTAATTTCCGCGTTCTAAACTAATTGCTTTTGAGTCTAAATATGTATCGAAATAGTAATTATATAGCTTTATGAGCCTATTGTGTATCCCCAATCTGACAATGAAATATCTCGCCCACTGATGGACCCTTGCTGAGAAGGAATGATGTCCGATGCATGGATACATTAAATATGAAACATTGTTTTGAGAACGTATCCCAGAGATAGGAAGCATGTGCCTCGATGTAAGAGACCGCATGCATTTCGATAAATTGGCCTCTTTATTGTCTCACGTATAAGATGCCACGAATGATCTGTCATTTTTCGATTC